CGAACGGTCGCAGGAGACTGACGTGGAAGGAGTCGTGTATTCGCCAGTCGTCGGGGAGTAGCAGCTGGGCGGTGACAGGTGTCACCATGCGGATAATGCGAAAGGGTCCGCAAAATCTTGGGCGTAGTTTATTTGGGAGGGGCACCCCCAAATTTCTGGTGTCGAGCAGGACTAATTGCCCTGGTGCGAGGGGAAGATCCCGTCGTCTTCGGTCAGCATTCCGCTTAGCGATCTGGTTGGCTTTGTTGATGGCTTCGGCGGCGTTTTGCTGATGCTTACGTAAAGTCTCGACGAAACGCTACGACCTTGGCGCCGGATTTTCGATCGGTGGCGACAGCGGGGTCACAGGGTCTAGCCCGTAATGCAGGAAGAATGGTGACTGGTTGGTCGTCGCCGAAGGAGCATTATTATACGCGAACTCAATCAAGGGAAGAGATTCTTCCCACTGTGTCGGGTCGGTGCACGTGGTGCGTATCAGCTGCTCCATTGTCTGATTTGTCCGCTCGGTCTGGCCGTCCGATTGAGGATGGTAGGCCGTCGATAGGTGCAGGCGCGTGCCGTACTGGTCCCACGTTTTCGTCCAGAAGTTGGACGTGAAGCGCGGGTCTCGGTCGCTGATGATCGCCGATGGGATGCCGTGGAGGCGGACGACAGTCGCCAGGAATAATTTGGCAGTTTCTTCGGCCGTGATCGTCGTCTTGCACGCGGCGAAGTGAGCCATCTTGGTCAGGCGATCGACGACGACGAGAATCGCGTCGTTACCACTGGGGCCGGCCGGTAATCCTGTGACGAAATCCATCGTCACTTGTTGCCAGGGTCTGGTAGGTGGCGCGAGCGGTTGCAGCAATCCAGCTGGCCGCAGGCGGGAGGACTTCATCAGCTGACACGTGGCGCACGAGGTGACATACCGCTGCACGTCGTGGGTTAACTCCGGCCAGTAGTAATGACGACCCAGAGTTTTTGCAGTTTTGTCGACCCCGTAGTGACCCGAGAGGTTTGAGTCGTGGGCTTCCTGTATCAGTAGCTCCCGTAGTAGTCGATAAGCAGGGACCCAAATCCGATTGTTACCGGATTTTAGATAATAGGGCCCTTGCTTAGTGATGAGTGGGCTGTTGGTGCTGGTGGTGAAGAACGGATCAGTGTTGTAGCCGTGGGTGAATAGGCCGGTTAATAGTGGGTTGGTCTGGGTAATCAGTACAGCGGCGGTGTGGGCAGATGGACGGGTCAGGGCGTCGGCGATGTTATTTGCCCCCCGTTTGTAGGTGACCCTATAGTGAAAACTGGACTCGAGGTAGTCGAGCCAACGGGTCTGTCGTGGGTTCAGTGTCGGTTGTGCGCGAATGAACTGTAGTGACTTGTGGTCTGTCCGTACTGTTACGTCAGCCCCGGTTAGATAGCAGCGCCAGGTTTTGAACGCGTGGACGATCGCCAGTAACTCCTTGTCATGAACCGGATAATTTCGCTCGGCCGGGTTCAGCTTGCGGGATTCGTAGGCGATGGGCTGGAGTCCGTCGCCGAAGTCTTGTAACAGCACCGCGCCGACAGCGATGTCACTAGCGTCGGTGACGAGCTCGAACGGACGGTGAGGATCAGCTATCCGAAGAACCGGCGGGGTCGTCAGAAAAAGTTTGAGTGCGTCGAACGCAGCCTGCTGTTCTCCCCCCCATTCAAAAAACGCGCCGTTCTTCAGCAGGTCCGTGAGCGGGGAAGTCACCCCCGCCATGTTCGGGATGAACCGGCGGACGTAATTCACGAACCCCAAAAAACTTTGGAGTTCCCGCAAATTAGACGGCGGCTTCCATTCTTGAATGGTGCTGATCTTCTTGGGGTCGATTTTAACGCCTTCGACGGAGATGATGTGGCCGAGGAACTCCAGTTCGGGTTTTAAAAACTCGCACTTAGATCCCTTGGTGATGAGGCGATTTTGCTGCAGTAGCGTGAAGACTTGGTCGAGGTCCTTTAAGTGCTGCTCCCGGGTGGTGGAATAGACGAGGATATCGTCTAAGTACACTATGACGCACTTGTCCAACAGCGGCCGAAAATCTCGTGCATGGTCAGCTGGAAGGTTGAGGGCGCGTTTGTCAGACCGAATGGCATGACTGTGTACTCGTAACTCCTGTACCGGGTACGAAACGCGGTCTTGTAGCAATCTGCCTCGTCGACGCGAATCTGGTGGTAACCCCCTCGCAAGTCGATTTTCGAGAAGAATTTTGCTCCGCGAAGTTGGTCGATGAGTTCGTCGGCGCGTGGTATCGGGTATCGGGATTTAATTGTAACTCGATTCAGCGCCCTGTAGTCGATGCACATGCGAAGGCCCCCATCCTTCTTCGGTGTGAACAGGATTGGGGCGGCGAACGGAGACGTGCTGGGCCGGACGAAGCCTTTCTCCAACAGGTAGTCAAGTTGTCGACGTAGTTCCTCCAGCTCGGGTTGCGTCAGCCGCCACTGTGTCCGCACGGTTGGCTGCGCGCCGGGTTCAAGTTGGATCTTGTGGTCCTGGGGGCGTTGAGGTGGTAGACCGGCGGGCAGGTCATCTGGAAAAATGGTTGGGTATTTCCGAATGAGTTTCGCCAGGTCGTCGGGTACGCCAGCGCACAACTTTTCGATGCCGGGGGTATCGTCGACGGTCGTTGATGTGATCCATCGGACGGCGTAGAGTTGTGCGCCCCGAATTATGGCGCGCTTGATCGTCACAGCGCTGACCGTCGATGTAGTCGCTTCAAGTCCACTCCACCGGGGTAGTCGTCGCCACTCGCCTCCCCACTTGATGCGACAGTCGCCCGTTCGCCAATCGATGCTCGGGTTGTACTCTCGCAGCCAATCGCGCCCCAGCAGCATGTCGCAGCCATCCAGAGTCGTCGCCAGCATCTTCGTCGTGAAACTGAAACGTTCGCCGCATGTGACTCGAACGTGTGGCACCCGTTCTCGAATCGCCAGTGGTGTACCGTCGACCAATCGCGCGTCGATCTCCGGCATGCACCGCTCCAATTGTAATCGCAGCTTCTTCGCTTTTGTCACATCCATCAAACTGTGGCTCGCTCCACCATCAACAAATATTTTTATTTTATTATCCCCAGCTCTTCCTTCTACCAGCACAGGGTGATCAACAGGTTCACCCCCCTTATTCAGCCAGGAGTGGTCGACTGCATAAATCGGCACTACTACCTGGTGGGGGTGGTGGTGTTTGGGCGACGCAGTCAAGTCAGCAGGTGGCCCATCAGCTACTGACTTTTTCCATTTCCCGACTGCTTCTCGTCGTTAGCTAAGTCCTTCTTAAGCGCCGGGCAGTCCCGCACCATGTGGCCCGGCTGGTTGCAGTTGAAACAGCGACCGGTAAACACCCGGGCTGCCATCGCGTCCACGCCGTTGATGGAAGGGTGTTGGTGCTGGCCTCGAAAACGATTTCCCTCCCGGAAACTCGTCCTCGCGAATGCCCGCCGCACGTCCAGCGCATCTGCCAACTCGACGAGCTCCGAAAAATTCGCTGGGCGTCGCACTTCAACTTCCAGCTGTATTTCCGGTTTCAATCCCGCCACGTAGCGGTCCATCTTCTCGTCTTCGTTCATGCCGTCGATCTGGTCGCAGAGTGCTAGGAACGACGCGGTGTATTCTTGAACAGCTCCCAACTGACGCCATTCCCGAAGCCTCGCACGAGCGTGTTTGCGCGCGGATATGTGCTCAAACCGCTTTTTCAAGGCTTCGCCCCACGCTCGCCACGTGAGGTTCATGGCCGATCCGAAGATTGGGACCGCCATTGCTTCAGACGACTGTTGCTCCCCAGCTACCGCCCGTTGATGTCCTGCCGAGGCCCCTCCCTCTGCGAGTTGCATGCGCCACCAGTCGAGTGCCGGTCCTCTCAGCAGTGATACAGCAAAATTCACACGTGTTGCATTGTCGTGAATATTAGCTGCATTAAAGAAGATCTCAACAGCAAACAACCACCCGCTCACTGTTGTGGTTTTATCGGTCGGATTGAACGGTGGGGGCGTGGCAGGTTTAACTTTAATAACTGCTCGTTGCCCACTGTTGATTTCTTCTGTTGCTTCAGGTGTCGCCGACGTTCTCGCTTCGCTCGCAGCATCCTCGTCTCGGGTAACAGGCCGCCTCTGACGCGTCTCTCCACGCGCCTGGCGAAGTGATGAGTTTTCCTCGCGCAGCGTCTGAAGTTCGCCATCGAGCGATTCGAACTTCGCCATGAGTTGTTGGAGTTGCGACTGTAGCGTCGTCACCGTGGCCGCCCTCGTCTGCAACTCGTCAAACTCCTCCTGTGTCACGTTCCTAACACTACGGCGGGCAGAGGATTCCAGCTCACTCGTCATGCTGGAACTGTTTCACCTAACAGATCTGAAGGTGCACACGCTTCTAGTCGTAGGAGCTTTAATTGAGCTCACCTACCGACCGCAGGCCAACCTTCTATTCTGTCAGGTCCTCGCCCGATATAAACGGACTCGCCTACGGAAGACTAAGCGGGCAGGAAAGTAGCTCTGATACCAGCTGTTATGTATCGAATCAGAGTAGTAGCGCGGAATTCAATAACAGGACGTGACTCAAGAGTCCGAATACAAATGAAAGGCTACGGCACTTTATAGGCACAATTACGCTAGCCGAGAACCTCGCAACTAGGTTGGGGCGACTCGGGTGACGAAAGCCACGGAACAGCCCCGCATTTAGGTTTGGTTGCGCTAGAGTGGTTCGGGACCGAAAAGTTAGGCCGAGCCTAGCCTTCCGAAGTCCGAGGGCGTACGCGCTGTGGTTGAGCTCAGTAAGGAAAAGGATTTTCCTTACACCATGTTGGAATGAGCACACTACAATCTGCTCCGAACAGTGACGAACGCGTTGGCGAATAGCAGTGTAACGCTTGTACATCCCACCAAGCAACGGCCAACACAAATGAAATTCTAGAATCATCATCTGTAATACAACACCTCATTCAGCACCCACCACACTTCGTGTCCTCCACCTAATACATGCAGTAGTTGCTTGCAAGAATAACCCACTCTTTATCTTACTGTGTCCCCTGTCTCCCCATTCCCACCACTAACCTCCGTGATTGTAGCTGCTTTTACACCTTCCTCTATTTCACTAGCATGGTCTCTCCCATTACCGCTAGACTTGTGGTTCTCATCATCACTTCCCTCGCCGTCGTCCTCATGTGCGCCCAGTGTACCACCCATATCGAAATCAATGGTGTAGTCATACTCGATAGTAGGCACCAGCGACGAGATGAACTTAAGGAATATGAAAAGGTACCTGCAAACAGCATAACACAAATGCTCAAGACCAATGAAGCTTCAACACTGAATTGCCACAAATGAACTGGCGAAGCGCATGCTAAAATGGGGAATATGATAACACCACGGTGGATGCAGAAGGAAGTGACTTTTGAGTCGACTCAAAAGTCACCTCGTTACGATGGCGCATGCTAGAATGAAGACGAGGGTGGATGCATAAGGAAACAGACGAATGAAAGGAGTGAGGGGCACATACTGGTCGACACGTGGCTGCACGCCATTGGCTGCCATGATTCCAATGATCTTCTTCATCACCGCTGCATGCTTGCATGGGTGCACCGATGCGTACTTTCCTGGAAGGTGCGGATGGTCGTCAATGGTAACCTGCATGCAGCGAAACAGGCATGCGTCAGATCACATCAAATTCATATTGCACCATGCATCAACAGATAGCATGCAGCGGGGTCACATGTCCTGATTGCGTGGATAGGCCATGCTCCTTAATGAATTTAAGAAACTACAGAAAAGGGATGTTGGTCTGGCCATCACACACACGCACTGCCCAACCTCACTCCCTTCTCACCAAGCTCACCGTTACCATCAACCCATTATAGTCACACTCACCGTCTTCTTGACATGGTCTTGGCTCACATCCTCAAACACTCGCTCTGCTGCCAGGGGTTGCCGTTGCTGCAGTGATGGGAACAATGGGAATGGCAGGAGAAAGAAGGGGGAAGGGGGCAGGATAGGCAAGGAAAGGGGAAACGGGAGAAGGGAACAGGGCTCACATCATCACATCCTCGCTATAACCGCACGAAATTAATGGTTGAGTTAAGACATTTCAGAAAAAAATACTTTCACCAAGCCATCAAAGCTCAGCTTACCTCATCATAACCAAAGAGCCAGATTCTTGGAGTCTGGTAGTACTTGTCGTATCTGGGTGGGGTTTCAAGCACACATGGAACGGGAGGGAGCAAGAGGAGGATATGATGAAACAAAGCCACTCTTGAAAATGTGTGCGGTGCAAAGTGCGGGAGTGAAAGGGAATGAATGAGCACACACGTATGGTGAGATTGTAGGTGCATGTGTGCAGAATGCATGCAGAGAAATTTTACAAAATCAGTAAGTGTGTGGGCACATGTGGTTGTGTAGCAACAGTGAAAGACTATGCGTTAGTGAGCCTTGTTTTGAGACGACTCTAAAACGTGAGGCAACAGTGAAAGAGAATGCGTTAGTGAGCGCACGTGATTGTGAGGTCGTAAGTGCGAGTCTGCAGAATGTGGTCGTCCTCTGGCTCTGTTGCCACCAGGTACCCCCCTCCCCCCAGCTGTAGCGCCGCCTGTAGCACACCAGTTGATGTGTCGATAATCGGTGGACGGGAGGGGGGGATTGGTGGAGAGAACATGGGTCAGCACGAGTCTGCAGATTAAAATAATCCTCTGGCTCTGATGCCATCAAATACCCCCTCCCCCCCAGCTGTAGCACCGCCTGTAGCGGAGGCATGAAAGACCATTGGTATGAACAAGGTTAACAAGGTGATGGTACTCCTTATGAGGCTCTGAGAGGAGAGGAGTGGGGTGATGCAAAGAATCAAGCTAGAACCAGCGCGGGACGCATAGAGAAGCACGCACACATCCATGGCCACTCACAGGGTCCGCATCGAGCACATTATCCAGATCATCGAATTCCGCTATATCGGGTACATCGTCCTCCTCCTCTTCATCTCCCGCCGCTGCTCCTCCAGCCCTTCTCTCCCCTGCTCCCGCTCCCCCACCCTCCCCTGCTCCTCCTGCTGCTGGGGGTGCTGCTGCCTCGATGGAGGGAAGGGACTCCTGCTGTGCCGAACCCGCACCTGCTGCTGCTGAGGCTGAATGGAGGAATGGGAGAGGCGAGCAGAAGTGACGTGAGGAGAGAGCCAGGCAGTCAATGCAGTCAAGGCAGTCAAGACAGTCAAGGCAGTCAAGACAGTCAAGGCAGTCAAGACAGTCAAGGCAGTCAAGACAGTCAAGGCAGTCAAGGCAGTCAATGTATCATGCCAATCACGGCAGTCAAGCCAGTCAGTCGAGCAGTGCAGTCAATGCAGTCATGCCAACCACAATAGTCAAGCGAGTCAAAGAAGTCAATGTATTATTGCCAGTCAAGACAGTGAAGGCAGTCAAGCTCGTCAGTCGAGTCAAGGCTATCGTGCAAGTCAAGCTTACAAGCACCGCCGAGCTTCGACGTGGCAACCCAGGGCTCGTGGTCCTCCCCATCCACGTCAGCGTCAACCAATGTCTCGCTGCCACCTGTCGCCAGCAGCACCTCCTCCTCCATCGCCCCCACTCGCCTCAGACAGGGGACTGTAAAGTCGCGAAGTTGAAAGGAGAGATGAGGGAAAGAGCAAAGGGCAGAGGGGAGATGGGGAGGGAGGGAGGGATGTGTGGTGAGAGCATCTCCTGAACACATCGGCACACTTGCTATGGTGTGGTCAGGGCACTGCGTGTAAGGCGGAGTGCCCCACCATAGCAAGTGATCAGAGGCACCCGATCATTTTTGGAGCCCAAAAGTTGGGGATCATAGAAGTCAATGTTAAGTGATATTATACTGCTTGGCAGGTGACAGGAAACAGCTAAGAGAGTCACATTTCAGGGATGTAAGTCGGTGCTGTCACACCGAGTGATGAGTAATAGCCTACCATTGCGAGTGATGAGGTACTGCTTGTCGGCAGGCAGGAAGCTTCGTCGTCGAGAGGGGACGGCTCCTTCCCTGACAGATATTGATTGAGAGCGGGAAAACACCAGAGGAAATTTCAGTGATTCACAAAATCAGCAAATCAGCGAATCGGGGAGCCAGCGAATCGGCAACCTCAATCGCCACGTCAGATAAGCTCAAGCGGGATTCTTAGCCTCCAGATTGTCGCCTGCGAATCCGATGGAACCCCAGACGGGAGCCATAGTCTTTACGTGGCAGCAACTAGGTTCATTTTTTGTAAAAAAAAGTTGATTTTTGAGTCGACTCAAAAATCAAGTCGCCTGCGAATCAGATGACAAGGCATCTCGCCAGGACCACATGGGACATTTGGCCACCAAGTGCCTTTCTCCGCAAAGCTGTGGGACTGCGGAAGTTTCCACGAAATGAAAGACTTAGACACGTGTCATGTCAGTGCATCTCACCAGGACCACGTGGGACATTTGGCCACCATATTATCTCCAGCAGCCACGAATTCGTCCGGCGTGAGGATGCCTTTCTCCGCGAAGGGGTGGAACTGCGAACGCATTCACGAAATGAAGGACTTAGACACGTGTCATGTCACACTGTCTCACCAGGACCACGTGGGACACTTGGCCACCAGATTATCCCCAGCGGCGACGAATTCGTCCGGCGTGAGGACGCCTTTCTCCGCGAAGGCCGTGGCGCTGCGCGCCGATAGCAGCATCTCCGCAGTGCTCTTATACGCCTCGTGGATGCGGTGCCGCAGCCCCGTGACGTCCATCGTTGCGAGGTGCGGAAACGAGGAACGTGTCGTGTATTCTGCGTTGACTAAAAGAAGAGAAACGCCTAGTAAAATCTATGCCTATGACGAAGAACTCTACAGCAAGGATAGCAGCTGCTCCGCCGTGCTCTAGTACGCCTCGTGGATGCGGTGCCGGAGCCCCGTGACGTCCATTGCAGCAGCCCGCTGCGGTGCGAAGTTTTTTAAGCTGCAAGCCTCAGAATACGGGGACGAGAAACGCGTCGCGTAACTGCAAGTCGAGTAATAGCAATAAAAACGCCTCGTGGGCTCTATATTTAAGACGAGGGACTCTATAGCGAGGATAGCAGCAGATTCGCGGTGTTGTCGAACGCCTCGTGGATACGGTGCTCGAGACACGGAGCGCCGATCATGGCGATAATATATCTGTACGATTGCTGCGGCTACTTAATATCCCATCAAGAACATCGTAACGCAAGCAGGCGACGAAGCGATGCTTCACTTTGGTTAGGAGGTGGGCTCTAGATTTACTATATAAGATGATTGTTACGGAAGACAAGGCTACGGAAACTTGCACTGGCGAAAGTCTTGGAACAGCGACACGAAAAATACTCGCTGTTGACAGGAGTAGCTATGGCTGGGAGGAAGCAACTAGATTCTAGAACCAGCTTGTAATGGTCGTGAGGAAAGCAGGAAGCGTTGAGGCGAGGAGGTAATCCCAAGGTGCCTAGGAGATGAAGCTCGGGCTTTTCGGGTAACCCTAAAAGCTCTGTTCATTTCGAGTAACGGTTCGGTTGCGGGGAAAGCGAAGCGAACACGCTACCCTCGCACGGCGTTTCGCTCGCGCGGGTCTGTGTTTGCGAAGCCTTCGCGACGACCCCCCGCCATCGTTCAAGCTGCAGACCCAAGTTCGACACCCTGCTGGCCCAAATTCTTAGGGCGACGTCAGGTTGTACAACTTTTTGTACGCCCACTACGGTTAACTTCGTTTCAACACGTTGCAAAGCAATAAACGTCAAGAACCGCTTTCCACCATTTTGGAACGTCTTGAACCACGATACAAGAACTGTAAACCCACGAGAAATGTATAACCTGACGTCGCCCTTATACATTGCCAGATGGGACACAGATAGGCATTTCCCCATAAATTGACAAATTGTTAGCGCCGGAGACATGGGTAATTTCGAAGTAAATAAAATAATGCCTCTCGCAGACACGTCATCAACGCCTGGGGATTCGCTTGTCGTATACGCGCGCTCTTCGGTGCACTTTTGTACACCTGTTACACGCATTGGCTGCTCGCTATAAGCAGCGCGGTTTTTGTTCCCGTGAGGCGAAGAGCTATAGTTGCGCGATGGCAGCGAAGGGGGAGGGTTTGAACGTTGCACGTGCGGTTACGGAGGGGGGAGCGGAAGGGCGGGCGGAAGGGGGGGCGGAAGGGGGGGCGGAAGGGGGGCCGAAAGGGGAGCGCGTTAATGAGGCGGGTGCCCAGCGGGAGGGGAATGGCGGAGGCGGAGCGCCGGGGGGAGGGGGGAGTAGTGGGGATGCGCGCAGCGGAGAAGGAGGAGAGGTAGTGGGGGAAATTGAGCGGCGGCGGGTTGAGGGTTTGGGGGGTGAGGGGAAGAAGGAAGAGGAGGTATTGGCGGAGGTGAGAAGGCGGATTTTGTTCCGCAAAGGGGGAAAGGCGGAAGCATTTGCGCGGACAGGGGGAGGAGCTGGGGAGGATACGGGGAACGGAAAAGGAGGGGATCAGGTGGGGGAGGGCGGATCTGGGGAAGCGGGAAGATTAAGCGGAGGTGGGGGTAATGCTGTGGGGGCAGCGCTACTGGGGGTATTGGAGGGGGGAAAAGGCAAGGGGAAGGGGGGAAACGGGAGAGGGGAGGGGGATGTGGAGGAGGAAGAAGAGGAGGAAGGGATGGGGAGGCAGCAGCTGGAGGAACTGTACCGGCACCTGAGACAGCCCAGGGTGGTTCTCAGGTGAAAACAACAGAGTCGGATGCAACTTTTGAAAATCCATGTCGATGGGCAGGGCATCACTCTTGAGTGCATGGGCGTTCATCTTCATCTTACCCCAACCGTTTTTGCTTCCATTCGTCCCTTGTTCTGTGCATATCCACGTGGCATGTGACACGTCACATGTGGCATGTATTTTTGCATGTATGCGTGCAGAAAAGAAGCATCCATCGCGCAGGGGATAGCAAACGGGTGCTTTGAGGCAAGGCAGAGCAGGGAGCATCACCACTCTGAGGCGAGGCAGAAAATCTCCAGCCCGGAGCATGAGGATGCTGACAGGGAGCATCACCACCACCCCACCACCCACAACCCCTCTCTCTGCGCGACAGCCACCCCCTCAGTGTGTGTGGCAGAGGTGCTGTTGCAGCGCGGCAAGTGGTGGGGCAGCACGGGCATTGTCCGGCAGCAACGGCTCTTCTTGCATGCTGAAGAGGCAGTGTAAGACACTTCATAGGCTTGTAGGCTTGCAGCGCGGCAAGTGGTGGGGCAGCACGGGGGTGGTCCGGCAGCAACGACTCTTCTTGCACATTGAAGAGGCACTGTAAGGCTTTAATTCCTGATTAGCGCTGTGAGTTGAAAGATCATCTTCCCCTTGAGGTATAGGTGGTGCTGTTGCAGCGCGGCAAGTGGTGGGGCAGCACGGGGGTTGTCCGGCAGCAGCGGCTCTTCTTGCACATTGAAGAGGCACTGTAAGTCAATGTAAAGTATGTCAGCTCCAAGGTATGAGGCCGGAAGTGGCGGGGCAAGTGGCGGGGCAAGAGGCGGGGCAGCACGGGGATTGTCCGGCAGCATCTGCTCTTCTGCCACATTGAAGAGGCACTGTAAGGTTTTCACTCCTGATTAGCGCCGTGAGTTGAAAGACGATCATGTGGCATGTGGGGCGGCACGGGGATTGTCCGACACCAACGGCTCTTCTGCCACATTGGGGAAGCACTGTAAGGCGCCTCCCTAATGGCTATTTATTCATAAAACGCATGACAGCTCTAAGCTATAAGAGGGGCGAGTGGTGGAGGGAGTTTTTGAGGTGACTTTTGAGTCGACTCAAAAGTCAGCTCTAAGCTATAAGAGGGGCAAGTGGTGGAGGGAGTTTTTGAAACCAGCTGATTTCAATTGAAACGCATGACAGCTCTAAGCTATAAGAGGGGCAAGGGGTGGGGCAGCAGGGGGATTGTGAGGCATTATCGTTCCTTTTGCCACATAGAGGAAGCACTGCAAGGCGCTTTAACTAAGCACTTCCTTGTGAGGTGCTTTCTCATAGTAAGGGTTGTCATTTAAAGGATTCTCCGCCACCTCTCTCCTACGTCTTGCCGCTTGCAATCCCATCTAGAGCCTGTATCACGCCCTGCGCCCCCTATCCTCCGCTAAATTGGTGTTACTTTTGAGAATTCTCAGAAGTAATCTAGAGCCCTTCACCCCCCTATCCTCCGCTGCTCACCTCTCTCTCCCCCTCCCTTCCTTTTCCCCCCTTGCACCCACTTTCCACCACCCCACCCCACCCCCATCCCCATTTCCCAAACAACCCCCCTTCACCTCAGGTTTCTTATGGAAAAGGGCTCTCTGCTTCTCCTCTCCCCATCCGGCTGCCCCGTCCCCATCCAAACCCTCTACCACGCCCTTCACTCCCCTCTCCTCTTCTCCTCAACTCCTCCTCTCCTTGCCCCATCTCCCCCATACTTACAGGTTCCTGATGGAGAAAGGCTCTCTGCTTCTCCTCTCCCCATCCGGCTGCCCCGTCCCCATCCAAACCCTCTACCACGCCCTGCACTCTCCTGCCCTCGGCTGTTCCCTCAACGCCTACCTAGCCTACGCACACCTGCGCAGGCTCGGGTTCATTCTGGCTCGGCACGGCGTCCCCTGGACCCGAACCAGGCCAGCAGGCTCGGCAGCCAGAGAAAAACCAATGGAGGGTTCAGATTTGTGTGGAAGAGGGGATGAGGAAAAGGACACGGAACGGTGCGGAGGAGTGAAACAGGAGGAGCAGAGAAATACGTGTAGAGCTGAGGCTGCTAAACCAGTTGAAGGAGCGGAAATTCAAGATGAAGGATTAAAGCCCATGTTCGATGTCTACTACCCCAATGCACGGTTCAAAAAGTCCCTGCCTGGCCCTCCGGACTTCCTGCTCTCTGTTGTCGACTCAGGGTGAGCTCTTGAGACCTTCGAAACAACTTCACTTTCACGTGACGTCTCAAAATGAAAGTCCCTGCCAGGCCCTCCGGACTTCCTGCTCTCTGTTGTCGACTTCAGGTGAGCTCTTTCCCTCTCGCACGGTGGGCTTTCTCTCCCTCAAGGTGAGCATTCCAGAGGAGGGGCTAAAGCCCATGTTCGGGATGTCTACTACCCCAATGCAAGGTTCAGAAAGTCCCTGCCTGGCCCTCCGGACTTCCTGCTCTCTGTTGTCGACTCGAGGTGAGCACTCTCCCGTTCCCTCTCTCCCTCTTTCTCCCCCTCCTCCTCCCCTCTTCCCCCCCTGTCCACCTCTTCCCTTCTCCCCATCGGCACTCGTATGCCATATATCTGCCATAGATGCAAATTTCGGATTGATCTCGCTCCTCTCCCCAGGTGCATGTGTGATGTTTCCACTTTTCCTCTCTACTCCTTAGCTTCCCATACCCACACATCATTATCTCACCAACACCAAATCTTTGAAGGTCATGGTCACCCTCAGCAGCAGCAGCAGCTTTCCATCCTCGCGCATTTTTTTCCTCCCTGCACCATCCCTGTCTCCCACTTGCAGCTCACCCTTCCCATACTGTTGCAGGGTGATTTTGAGATTTTTCAAAGACGCCCTCCTTGCTCCATCCCTGTCTCCCACTAACAGCACACCCTTCCCATCCTTATCGGACTTGAAACGGCTTCTGGAACACTCTTGTGCTGGTTCAGTGGAGGAAAGCAGTGCAGCACAACGCACAGGTTTAGTGGAAGCAGGTGTGGATGAAGCAGCTGCTGCAAGCGGCTATGACCCAACAGCAGTTGCACACGGATGTGTGATGAAAGCTGGTGTGGACATACCCGCTGCTGCAGTGCCAGTCAAAGTTGCTTGTGTTAGGGATGGTTATGTTACTATTTTCGACATCACTGCTGTTACACTACCATTGCTGACTTGAATTTTCTCACCAGCCACAAGGAAAAAAATGCATCGGCTACAGGCGTTCATATGGTACCATATTGGTCCCTGCAAGTAACAGTACCATTGTTAGAAATGAATATTCACTAAATCTGCAGTACCCTACGTGAGAGAAAAGGGGAGGAGAATTATCTTGCAGCACAAGCACAGAAGCCTATGAAAACCCAACTCCAGAAAACGAGAATATTAAACCGTCTGCCACCGCTTTTGCCGTGCTTGCATGATCCAGTGTACCAGCTACTTCTACACTTAGCGCATCATCTTGTAGCAACCCAGAGAGCACCAGGGCATGCACGAGCAAGAACAGGGCGCATGCACATGCTGTCCGTGCTGCCAGCGGCGGCTGGAGTCCATGCATGCGTATGCTCATGCCATGCTACTCAGTCACTGTAACCCAGTCATTCGCATCGCTCTCAGTCACACTTGATGTTGCGATAGATACGCCGGACAAACATGGACGATCCCAAGTAGCCAATGGCACCTGCAGTGATTGGTTGGTGAACGGGTGGGAAAGGGAAGATGAGGAAGGCAGGGGGGAGTGTTGGATGGGGTGGGATGGGACGAGGGGTAAACGAGAAATCTGGTCACTCGTATAGCTCTCAGTCACACTTGATGTGGCGGTACATATGAGCCCAGGTGACAAATGGCAGCTGTGCAGGGAGGTTAGTGAAGGGGAGGGGGAGGGAAAATGTTGGAGGGAGGAAGGGAGGAGTGTGGGATGGATGAAGGGGGTGTAGTGTAGTGTGCAATACAGGCACCTGGTTGATTGAGAAGCCAACCAGAGTAAGTGTGAGGAAAGCGAAGGGCAGAGAAGGGAATTGGGAGGGGGTGTGGGATAGACGAAGGGGGTTAGATGGGAAAGTCAATCTTGCAGGTGCATGGAAAGGCAATTATGGATGGGGTGCAAGTGGAGGGGGTTTCGAGACTGAAAGGGTTGAGGGAAGATGATGCACGGCAACACTTCTTTTGAGTCGACTCAAAAGTCAACTTGCATGGCAACACTTTTGAGAGTTCCTAAGAACGTAACAGGGTTACCATGCAGCAACATGTGATGTTTGATGCGAATAAAAGGTGGCTTGAAAAAATCCACGTAGATAAAGCGGTAATAGATGGAGTAGAAATAGACGTGGATGCAGGTGGGAGAAGGGTGGGAATCTTAAGGTTCAAGAGTGCACATACCACACAGAATGCCGAGTCCCAGGCAGAACATGAGGGTGTATCCGAAGTAGAACGTGGTTTGGAAAAACCCGGTCATTTTGGTTTTGATGAAGTAGTAGTAGATGGAGTAGAAGTAGACGTAGATGCAGGTGGAGGCGGCTGAGAAGAAGGCCGTCCACTGCCAGTGGTAGTTCTCGGCGTTCAGCAGGAAGTAGGTGCCCACTATAGTGACGCACACTGTGACTATAACGAGGATGAGGAACACCAGCAGCATGAACCCGTACACGTAGTACACCTGAGGGGGAAGGGAGGGGAGAAAGGGAGGGGAGGAAGGATGGGGGAGAATGGAAGCAAGGGAGTCGAGAAAGGAGGAGGAGTGGGGAGAGGGAGGGGCAGAGAGGGGGTGGTGGTGTGGGGGAAGGGGCGGCATTTGCATTAGCACAAGGCTAAGAAGGCAATGCGGGGGTCCTTGATGAGGCAATTCGTAAAGGGAAGGTCGGGAAGTGAGGGGGCGAAGGGAGGGTTGAAAGATATAATGACCAGGGATGAGTGTGGCTGGGGTGGACAGGGGGGAAAGGAGGGGGTTGGGGGGGGGGGGTGGGTGGGTGGGGTGTGAAGAGCTGAGCTATGATTCAGGAATTGGTGGCCTTCCTTAAGGGAGCTCATATCATGTTTTCAACCACAAATAACCTCATTACTTTCTAATGTTCACTGTCTTTGTATGTGCAACAAGCACACTCATTCCATACAGCCACACCCATTCCCTGCAGTGGCCCTTCATTCGCTACAGTCACACCCAGTGGGGGGGCCACCTTGTAGTTCCAGGAGGTGAAGATGAAGTACATCTCAATAAAGATGGACCTGAAGGGCAGCAGCCCGCCCATGAGCGACACCACCCACGGCGTCACGTACCACTTCTTCACCGGGATGGGCATCCAGCGCCACAAGCTGCTCTCACACCACTCAGTGCCCTCACTCACTCCCACTCCCCACTCCCACTCCCCACAGTCACGCCCTTCCCTACAGGCGCACACAATCCCTACAGCCACACCCATTCTCCTCAGTCCCTGCGATCACACACACCCATTGACTAGACCAAGAGGTGGTGGCGGGCGCACCTTGTAGTTCCAGAAGGAGGTGAAGATGAAGTACATCTCAATGAAGATGGATCCGAAGGGCAGCAGCCCGCCCATGAGCGACACCACCCACGGCGTCAGGTACCACTTCTTCACCGGGATGGGCCGCGGGATGGTCTTCACGCGGCACGGGTTGTCAGGCGTGCCGCTCCAGTTGCGCCCCACAATGGTGCCGAGCGTGGCGAGGGGGAAGGAGATGAACGCCCAGATCACCAGCACTACCACCTGAAGAACCGTGGAGTATTGGTAGGGGAAGGGGGACGGGACCAGGTGGAAGGGGGGACAGAGGGGAGAGCCGAACAGGGGAGGGAAGGGGCGAGAAAGGAAGGGAGAAGGACAGCATGAGCAAGCAGGGATTGTCGGGGGTGCCGCTCCACTTGCGTACCATGATGGTGGTAGGGGGTTAGGGGATTGAAGAGGAGAGCTAAGCACATAAATGAAAAAAAAACTGTGTAGTATGCATAGAAACAGCACGGGGTGAACGGAACTGGATCCCAGGGGCATAGATGTAAACGTTCACACGGACAGAAGAGAAGCGGACGGAGTGGGAGAGAAGGGTGTGGGGGATGGGTGGAGAGAGGGGGAAAGAGGGATGGGCAATGGGAATGATATCAAGACCACATACTACACATGGCTGGAGCAGTGTTGCTCAGAGTGGGATCGGGGCAAATGGGGATGGGAATGGGAGTTGGGAATGGGAGCGTGGACTGGGGAACGGGAATGGGAATGGGAACGCCAACGGGAATGCGAATGAAAATGGGGATGACAGCAACAGCACTGACCATTGTGCCGAAGGGAATGGCAGCGAGCGAGTGGTAGACAATGGCAACGGTGTTGAGAATGAAGCCGATGCCGAAGCACGTGAAGGGGAATAGCGACGCCGTCAACAGCATGGCCTTGATCCAGTGCTTCCCTGCACCGGGACAATGGCACAAACGACAAGGGAGAAATGAAGCCAGCAGAATTACAGTGAGATTCTGAACGAGCAGTGTCTGAAACCGTTAACCCTAAAATGCGTCACCTTGACTGTCCTACTCCTCGCAGCGCCTCCAACAACCATATACACCAACCAACCAAACCTGACCGTTGACACTGAACAATCTCCTAGAGCACATCACGCTGTGCCTCCGACAACCCTAAAACACCACCCAACCCTACACTGCTGCCATTCAGCCCTGTATGATCCATCTGCTAGGCAAATCCGGACACAACATAAGGCGATAAGCCCGCTACGCTTCTGCACCCAATGATGTGGTAACCCTGCCAAAGTCCTAACCCAGGTGAAGGGGTATCCTGATTTGACTTGTACACTGCCTAAATCCGTACTCCGGATTATGGTTGCATACGAAGTTAACACTCTCCCTGTCCTACAGCTGTACTTGGAACTGCAGCAATTCCTCACATACGCCACGCCATGACAGTCAATTGACCCCAACTGCGACCATTTGCTATATTAACGTCGTATGTGTATCTATCATTATAACTGCATTTCTGGGGTAACATTTGCAGCTGACGTATACGCCAACGAAGGATGTGAGCGCGTAGCAGATGTTGCATCGGCCGACTGTCAACGATCGCGATCATGATCACGCGTTCAGAGCTAGGGCGGCACCCGCACAGCAGCCATTCCCTCAGTACCACCGTGTCGTGACCTAAATCGGCAACTACACTACCGCTGTGTTTTAAGTAAAACCCGCCTTTCGCATAAACTCGATAGCCCTACAATACCTGCGTTTCTGGAGTAGAATCCGCCGCTGACATATCCGCCAACAAAGGACGTGAGCGCGTAGCAGATGATGAAGGCAGTGGCAATGGTGCCTCGGCCCACATAGAGCATGCCCACGATGGCGATGATGATGACGAAGAACACCAGCAGCGCCAGCTGCGCGCCCGTGCCCACCAGCGCGGACAGCAGCACGAGGTTGCGGGGCGGCCGGAACACATCTCCGTGCACCAGCTTCCAGCCTGACTCCTCGCTCACGTCCCTCTCCTGAAAAAAACAATTGCAGCAGAAAATGCGGATCGAAATCAGTGGCGTTCTGGCACGGGCTACAACTTCGTTCACATCTCTCATACCCCCCAGCAACAAACCGTAAGGGCACATA